CCCCGGAAATTTCTCTGTTGCATTCAATGCCTTGTATTTGGGATCCAGCAGGAAAACTGACTGTGCTTACAAGCCCCCACAGGGAAATTTCCCCATGGCAGTCCAGGTACTCGCCTTTGCAGCCCAGTGGAGGAATGTCTTGCCTTTAGCAAGCTCTGGCAAATGCCAGAAATTTCCTGGGGGGTGGGTCTTGGAGAACTGTAGAGAAGCAGCATTCTGCCTTCACCATGTTCTTACCCAGGGCTTTTTTTGGTAGAAAAAGCCCAGCAGGAACTCATTAGCGTAATAGGCCACACCCAGCACCAGAAATTCATTAGCATATTAGCCACACTCCTGACATCACAACTCATTAGCATATTAGGCCACACACCCCATGCCACCACACCCACCTTTTGCTTCTCATTCTGTTTACTTTGTTTGTTGTCCAAACCCAGGGCTTTTTTTGTAGCAGGGACTCCTTTGCATGTTAGGCCACACACCCCTAATGTAGCCAATCCGAATGAGTTTCTGCTGTTGGGTGTGGCCTGTTATGCTAATGAGTTCCAGCTGGGCGTGGTCAACTCAGAAGCCTGCCGGAACTCCGTTCCTGTGCGTTCCTGCCCCAAAATAGCCCTGTAATCTTACCACATGGCTGGGGTGCAAGGAGACGTTGGGGGTGGGGTTTGGAACACCACTTCTTGGTGTTGTGATCCATCGCCTCCAAAACTCATCCCCGAATCCCAACAGGGATGCAGCGAGAAATTTCCTGGATGGGGGAGAGATCAGAACACAGACTACGTCTGGGAATCCACGTCCTCATCCCTGCTTCCCATCCAGAAAGCTTCTTACTCGGGTTAGGTAGTAGGGTTGCCGGATCCCTGGTTGAGGCAAGGTTTTCCCCGATTTTGGGGGCTCTAATTTGCCACTGGCCACCTGGCTGGTGGGGGAAGCTCCATCCCTGAACAGCCCCCTCCTGCATGGATGTCACTGGCATGATGTTACCCAGAAGTGATGCCATCATGCTGGGCACGTTGCGCATCAACACTCTAGCATTTGGGCCGAAACTCTATGGTTACCATAGAGACTTTGGGCAAAATGCTAGTGCATCGACATGTGATGTGCCCGGTGTGATGTCATCATTTCCGGACGACATGATGCCATCGCTTCCGGGTGACGTCATTGCGGTGCACAAGCTACAAGGCAGGTAAGACCTGGCAACCCTATTAGGTAGAGATGCTGTGTAGATAAGGTTGCAAGCTCTGGATTGGGAAACACCTGGAGATTTGGGGGGGTGGAGCCTGGGGAGGGAGGGGTTTGGAGAGAGGAGGGACCTCGGCAGAGTATAATGCCGTAGAGTCCACCCTCCAAAGGGGAACTGGAGATTGGCAGGCTTCCCTTGCAGGGGAGAGAGCATGAGCTGATTCCACCACCAAAGGGCCGGACCACACTGCACAACGTCCGTCTCCTTGGCCAAACGCTGTGCATCGCAGCCATAAACAGTGTCGGGCCAGAACATCGGAAGGCCTGCATTCTCCCGTCTAAACCTGTACATCTGCTGAGATCATCACTGGAGTCCTCCGAGAGAAAAGCAAGCAAGTGCAAGAGATCTGGGCTTTTCTGCTGTGGCGCCCAGTCGGTGGAGTGTCCTCCCCAGGGACAATCCCTTGGCACGCGTTCTTTATCTTTTTTCTCCTTTCCTTGTCTTTCTCGTGCTCGGCGCCAAGCTAAACATGCTTTGTTTACACAAGCTTTTGGCGGGATGTAGAACAGAATTGGCTTCCCCCCTTCTGTCTTTCCCTTCTGTCTCATTCGGCGGCTGTTTTATCTCTTGATGGGGTAGGGGGATGGTTTTATTTGGGGGAGGTGGGGTCCCGCCCTGCTTAAGTGTAGTTATGTTTAGTTGTAATTTGCTTTATATTTTGTTCAACTGCACTTTTAAAATTTGAAGTTGACTGCCCGGATGATTGCTTTGTCAAAAAGTTGAACGGTTTTAAATGCATCCCTTCGGTGACCAAACATACCATGCGACATATACAGTTGGGTGGGTCAACAGGGTAAGGGAGAGATATGAAAAATGTGCTTCACAAGATACGTAGCCCAACGATATGGTTGTATGCACATGGTGGTAATTTTATCAGCAGATACCCCATGATAACACTTTGGGCTGTAACCAACCAAAATCTTATACGAATTTTCAAGCAATTCAACGTCCCTTAGAGAACGGTTTTGAGGATCTCGGCTTATCTCCTGTAGGGCTTTTAGATGTCCAGTTTCACAAGGGTGATCTTTTTCAATAAAGTTTTTTTTCACATTCTTTCACTGGTGTGGTGCATCGTTATGTTTGAAGTCGTGTGAGTTTGTGTGTGTGTGGCCATGATCACACGGGCAGTTTGGCCCGACACAGCCACTCCTCCCCTCTGGATCAAATGGGCTCAGTCAGACAGCCACATCTCAGGCATCTCCCAGGCATACTGACCCAGTCGTGGGATGACTTGAGGCTGACTTTAAAAGGTACCAAACCACAAGTGATGTT